ATAACTTAAAACTGCTATTTTGTGGTTTTTTTTTCCCATTTATTTATTTTATTGCATTTTAGGTTTTGGGGTACATGTGAAGAACATGCAAAATTGTTGCATAGGAACACACATGGTAGTGTGTTTTGCTGCCTTCCTCCCCATCACCTACATCTGGCATTTCTCCCCTTGCTATCTCTCCCCAGCTTCCCACCCCCCACCCTCCCTCCCCTATTTCCCCCCAACTGGCCCCAGTGTGTAGTGCTCCCCTCCCTGTGTCCACGTGTTCTCATTGTTCAACACCCGCCTATGAGTGAGAACATGCGGTGTTTGATCTTCTGCTCTCCTGTCAGTTTGCTGAGAATGATGGTTTCCAGGTTCATCCATGTCCCCGCAAAGGACCCTAACTCATCGTTTTTGATGGCTGCATAATATTCCATGGTGTATATGTGCCACATTTTCCCTATCCAGTCTATCGTTGATGGGCATTTGGGTTGGTTCCAGGTCTTTGCTATTGTAAACAGTGCTGCAATGAACATTCGTGTGCACGTGTCCTTATAGTAGAACGATTTGTAATCCTTCGGATATATACCCAGCAATGGGATTGCTGGGTCAAATGGAATTTCTATTTCTATGTCCTTGAGGAATCTCCACACTGTCTTCCACAATGGTTGAACTAATTTACACTCCCACCAACAGTGTAAAAGTGTTCCTATTTCTCCACATCCTCTCCAGCATCTGTTGTCTCCAGATTTTTTAATGATCGCCATTCTAACTGGCGTGAGATGGTATCTCAATGTAGTTTTGATTTGCATTTCTCTGATGACCAGTGATGATGAGCATTTTTTCATATGTTTGTTGGCCTCACGTATGTCTTCTTTTGTAAAGTGTCTGTTCTTACAGTAATCAAAACAGCATGGTACTGGTACCAAAACAGAGATATAGACCAATGGAACAGAACAGAGGTCTCGGAGGCAACACAACATATCTACAACCATCTGATCTTTGACAAACCAGTCAAAAACAAGCAATGGGGAAAGGATTCCCTGTTCAATAAATGGTGTTGGGAAAGCTGGCTAGCCATGTGCAGAAAGCAGAAACTGGACCCCTTCCTGACACCCTACACTAAAATTAACTCCAGATGGATTAAAGACTTAAACATAAGACCTAACACCATAAAAACCCTAGAAGAAAATCTAGGTAAAACCATTCAGGACATAGGTGTAGGCAAGGACTTCATGACCAAAACACCAAAAGCATTGACAACAAAAGCCAAAATAGACAAATGGGACCTAATCAAACTCCACAGCTTCTGCACAGCAAAAGAAACAATCATTAGAGTGAATCGGCAACCAACAGATTGGGAAAAAAATTTTGCAGTTTACCCATCTGACAAAGGGCTGATATCCAAAATTTACTAAGAACTAAAACAGATTTACAAGAAAAAAACTAACAAGCCCATTCAAAAGTGGGCAAAGGATATTTTGTGTTTTTAATTTATTTTCTCTATGCGTTATTCTTTTGTGTCTCATTTATTACCTTTAATACAAAGTATTAACTCTTTGTCTTAATTTGTTTTTTGTTGCTGTAATGGAAAATCAGAGAGTGGGTAATTTATAAACAATAGAAGCTTACTTGGTTTGTGGTTCAAGAGGCTAGGAAGCCCAAGAACGTAACACTGGTGTTTGGTGAGGGCTTTCATGCTGCATCACCCCATGGTGACGATGGCAGACCAAGAGAGTATGAGAGTGAGAGAGGAAGAGGGTCAAACTTATTTTTTTCTTCAGAAATTCATATCTGTGATAACGAAATCACTTCTATGATAACAGCATTAGTCCATTAATCAGGGCAGAGCTCTCATAATCTAATCACCTGATAAAGTCTCACCTTTAAATACTGTTACACTGAGGATTAAGTATGAACATATGAACTTAAGGGAGCACATTCAAACCATAGCATTCTTTAATATTGTTTTAGTTATTAATCATTTGCTTACTCTGTTTTCAGTCTCATTTCTCAATTTTATTACATATATTCTGCTAATAATATGAAATTGCCTTAAGTGTCTTTATGTCCCTTACCCTTATCTGATTTAGCAGACCTTGTTGTCCTTGCTAAAATACCCTTCTCCAAATTTTCATCTTGGCCACATTGTATTTATTCTTCAGCATTTAGCATTGTACTTTCTATTATAGAAAATATGTTCCGTCCAATTCTCCCCAACCTTGAATCTTTGCCCCAAAACTTGCATTTCCTTTACCAAGACTCACTTACATAAATATTTATTTATCTAATATATCTCTCAATTATGAAACCCATTGTTGTATTTTATAATTGTTACTTATTTGTCCCCCATACCAGATTCTGAATCTTTTAAAATGTACTCCTCTCTATATTCCTGTTTCTTAGCCCTATATCTAACATATAGAATTCACTTGTTAAATAATGGTGATATAAAAACAATAAAATATTTCACATATAATTTATTTTAGTGAAAATACATCAATGTTATTAATTTTGAACTGCTCTATTTAGAAAATAGTGTTAATTAACAAACACTAAAGAACGTCTAACTGTATGTTCAGTACTGAATTGGATAGAGTTGAAAATACATAAGAACAGCAATCTACTCTCAGGTTACAGTAATCTATTTTATCAGGCATGCTTCCACCATAAAAAAGTGCAAACTATCCAAAAACTAATTGGGATTCAATGGAATGATGGGTCAATGAGCTTTTGTACTAATCAAGAAGGATAGATAGGAAAATGTGTGAGTCTAAAAGCAATACTTTCCAAGTTCCAATTTTCAATTTGCTGCTGGGTATTCAAATCTTTTCTTATTGCCAAACCAGCTTATTTGTAGTTAAGATCAACAATAAATTAGAGGAGGGTAGCAAAAGAGTAAAAGAAGCTTTACTATGTAAACTTAGAAAAGTTAAACTTTCATTCATTGCTTTTCTCTTTTCTTACACAAATTAGGTATTGAAAAAAATTGTGTCTATTTGTGAAGGTTATTAATAACATAAGAAACAAAAATCTAGGTCTTATAAAAATGAGGCATCTTTGATAAACAAGCAGAAACATTAGCAATCTGCTTATAACACAGAAAGAAATATTTTCTCATGATGGAAAACACTATACTCTTAACATTTTTAATACAAATTACTTTTTATGGACAAACTTGTCTGAACAGTACTGTCCTGAAAGCCCATAAACTCCTCTGAGATACTCCCATATTAACGAGTTTTAATGGTGCCTTTGAATAATACCTAGATGACTATAGCACTACTTGAAACAGAAACACACCTCTCACACTAATTAGAGTTCTTGAAAGACATTGAAAGAGGGAACTGGTTAAATCATTTTCTGCAGCACCAGATTTAATTGACATAGATATAATGCCAGTGATAATTTTATGCAATTGCAAGATCAGGAGTTTAATATATCTGGCAGTAAGGCAGGGATTTTCTTTCTCTGACAGTGCTGAATAAACCTCTCTAATCCTTTTCCTTTAGCTTTCCCTTATTTCTAGGCTTAAGTTTAATAAAAGGCAAAAAAAAAAAAAAAAAAAAAGTCAGCGTTCCTCTAGGCTTCTGAAAGCTCAAGCATAGAGAGAAAAAGATGTTAACTCAGGGAGGCTGTGGCTCAGAATCATTAAAAAGACTAAATGGCAGGATCACAGGGCTAAGTTTACAATTCCCTTTGTATATAGCAGAGGCACCCTTTCTTGCAGTAAACACTTTATCTAGTTTCATCTTGCTTCCAAATTGCCAAAACAGAGTCAGGAGTCCAAGAGGGATTGGATGATTATAGTTTACAAGGTGCTCAAAATGTTTCCTTGAATCTTCAGTTTGGCTTACCTATGATACTTGTTTATTCATTTACAAGTTATTGCACAGCCTTGCTATATAGAACTAGGATATTTTGACCAAGTGGACTCCTACAGCATGTTTTCTGTAACATTTAATGTTTTGCAGTTTAAAATTGTGGTGTTATATAGAAGGCAGCATCTTATGGGCCATTTGGCAGAAGTGATAAAAAGCATAGTATTTACGAAAGACTCTGAAATAGGCCACATGATTTTCAGTGTAATAATCCAGTTTTTTTTTTACTTTGTTTTAATTATAAATTATGAAATGCAGGATTCAGGCAAATCTCAAGCCTGACTCTTTCTGCCCCTGGGACATTCCTGCTTTCTGTATTTGTTTTACGCTTTCTTTTTAACTTTTTGACCAGAATGCTTCATTTGTAATGTTCTTTCTTACTTGACTTTTGATCAATGATATAGGTGTTTATATACAATGTTCTCATTTTCATTGTTTTCTAAAGCTTAGGTAATTGTGGTTTTTATTAACATTTAGACTCAAAATTTATTTAATGGAATATATTTTTCATGTGGCTATTTTTCTCCTTTATACTTTTATAAACTATCTTTTAGATTGGATGCATGGTGATCATAAAATGTAGCCTTTGAAATGTCTTCTTTTAAAAATTCATTGAGATTTTCTTTGTAATCTAAAAGTGTAATATTAATTTTATTTTTTTCAGAAATAGGCTGTGGAAATTAAAAGGTCAAGTTGTAGAAAGGAATTTAATAAGTATTTATCAAGTCTATTGAGATAAAAATATTGTTTGTAACATGTTTAACTTTAAGAAAGTAAAGCATTATTTAACCAGTAAAGATGAAATTGAAATTACCTGGAAATTGTTAAATAAATCAATGTAATTCCATATAGTAGTATAATATGCAAATATTAGAATTTATGGCATTCGAGAACATTACCAAGCTATATAAATTAGTGAGAAAGGCAAGTTAACAGCATATACAAATAATGTTTACAGACAATATATCTTGATTTTTAATAGTTCCTTAAAGGCTAAAAAACAGATGCAATCACATTAACTCAAATTTTAATTTAAACTTTAACTACAAAGCATCAAAATAATATAGTGTGATGTAATCATGAAATTACATATAATTCTGATTCTTATTCTCTTTCTCTCTTTTTTTTTTAATGTAGAAAGGGAGAATGGTTTGAAAATGGTTATGAGGAGAAAGAACGATGCTGACACCACCTCCAGGACCCATGGAACAAGATCTGTGGTAAGTTGTGTTAACTAGGGTCCTTAGAAGAGGTTCAGATTTACATTCAAACATAAAGATGAAAGAAATATCTTGAACACATGATAAAATTATGAGATACTTAACTGTTAATGGAGCATAAATTTCAAATGTCATACAGAAATAATTTTAGAATTTGAGGAAGCATTGTAAAGGAGACAGAATAGTAGATAAAGATATATGATAATTCATGTAAAGAATACAAGATGTTACTAGGACTATGAGAGTTTTCTTGGGATGACATTGATGAGATAAATATATGTTCATATGTACTAAAATTAATCCTGGTGAGTTTAAGGCAGTGTTTGGGTCAGGGTGAAAGCGAGGAATGGATCTCTTTACTGTAACACTTGAGTAGATAGTAAGCAAGGAATGATCTTACACCTAGGGTGCCAGTTCACTCTGACTTCCTGTTTAGGGAGAAGAGATCTTATTCCAGGTACCTGTACACTATCTTGATAGCTTGCATAATTCTGTAGAAGGTATGCATGACACCAATCATAAGAATCCTTTTATTAAAAGAAAGTTATGCTTGTGGGTATATGTACTTTTGTGCATATGTGAAAATGTCTACAGGCATGTACTTTCTCTTTTTATCTGGCTTTGATAAAATCTGGAAGTGTTGAATTAAGAGTTTTTTTTTTTTTTTTTTTTTTTTTTTGCCTCAGAAATCTCTGAAATATTTTCTGTCTTTTCTTCCAGATTCCCTTTAAAAAAAAATAGCCTATTCCTATAAGGAATTTGATTGCAATTACTAAAGCTGTAGAGTCTGGAGGACATGTACCTCATGAATAACTGGAATTAAAATCTCAAAAGAATCATTAACTTTTTTACAGTCACTTGAAATCCTGACTTTATGAGATTTTTTTTCTATTGAAATACTTTTGTGTATTTAGTCCTTAAGAAGAAGAATTTGCCATCTTAAGTTTTTGTCCTCAGTTGATGAAACTGAATCTAATGCTTGCATGTCTTCGTGAATTTTTTATGTGTATGAAGTTTAAATTTTGGCTTGGGCATCACTGGGATATTTTTTAGTGTGTGATTTTATGCAATAATATTTGGATATGATCACAAATCCTTCACTGGTAAAGTTTCTTTTCTTTTCTTTTAATATCAGAAAGTTTTCTTCTTTTTGGAGGTAGGATTTTTTTTACAGACTTCATTCTTGCTTGTGGAATATGAAATTGAGAATCATCCAGTTGGCAACCACTTTTCGTTACTTGAACAAAGATAGAAAAATTTTGCTTTGCTTTATGCCAGACATTATATTTTTTGTTACATGGAATGGCTTATTCATTGATTCACAAATTACATATTGAGTTTCTACTATGTGCCAGGCAGAGATTACAGTATCTGGAAAGTGATGGTAAATAAAATAAACCGCTATGTTTCCTGATGCCTAATTATATTAAAATGACTGAGATGAGGGAATAACATGAATTAAACAATATAAATGTAAAACAACAAAATATAATGGTTAGAATGTGGTACGTGTTATGGAAAAAATAGAGTTGGTTGAAGGGAACCAAGAGTATGAGAGTGATAATTGGGTTACAATTTTACTTAAGGCTGTTAGGGCAGGTCTTACTGATCAGGAGATATACATGCAAATATTGGGAAAGCAATACAGAGAGAGGGAATATCCCAGTCAAAATGCTTGAAATGGGATGGGACTTGTGTGTTTGAGGAAAAACAGAGAGGTCATTAAGACAATATCTATATAAGCAAGATAGAAGAAAATGAGGTCACAGAGCTAATAGGGGTCAAATAATTTTGACAATTATAGGCTATTTGAAGTACTTTCCATTTAATTCTGAATAATAAAAAGTGAGAGCATTGAATGACTTAAATAAGAAAGTACTGTGGTCTGACCTCTATGTCTCTGACTTCTGTTTTGATAATAGACTGGTAGGGGCAAGGAGATGAACTTAGAGGCTACTGGATCAATCAATAGCAAAAGCAAAGATGGCTTGGATCAGAGTTGTAGTGGTGTAGATAATGGTTGAATTATAATGTATTTTTTAATAAATCGAAGAGGAATTCTTGACAAATTAGATGTAACATGATAGAAAAAGAGTCAAAAATAAGTGAAAGCTTTAGTCTGAGCCATTAAATGAAAGAAGTTGTCATCTGCTGAAGCAGAGAAGATTATGCTCTGTGTGTGGAGTGTGTGTGGGGTGTATCTGTTCAAGTAGCGTGTTGAATATATACATCTGGACTAAAAGACAGTAACCAGCCTGAAGATAAAGCTTTGAAATTCTAGGTACATATTTCACTATTAGGCCATCTAACTGAATAAAATGAGGATACAATGATGTGGGTAGAAAAGAGAAGGCCAAAAACTGATCTCGAGTATATACCACGCTAAAATGTTGGAAACAGGAAAAGAATTCAGCAAATATCCCTATAAAGGAGAGACTAGTAAAGTAGGAGGAGAAGAGAATTATGTGATACCTTGGAAGCTGACTGGAAATGAATAATAAAGGAGGGGATTGTAATAACTTAAATGCTCAGAATGGTACGTTACGTAAAATGTGAGGCTGGTTGTAATAGTAAGTAAAATAAATTAGGATGAGGCACAGGCAACTTAGAGTTAGGAGGTCCAGAGTGGAAGAGAATAAAAAGGAAAACATGAATAATATCTGTAATCAAGAAAGCCCAGCATGCAGTTTCTTTGGGACGCCTACTGTTGCCTAACTTCTCAAACCAAAATCATCCTACTTGAAGTAAGTAAGAATTTTGGTTGCCTACTGCCACAATACCTAGTGATTCTGATGTGTTTGTTTGATCTATTTAAGCTGTATATGACCCCTCTCACTTCAGGTGATGGATCTTTCATTCTGTAATACTTTGGAAGAAGAAACATGCTAAGCAAAATATTTCTTTGCAGCAAGTTTTAAAATTTGGTTTTCCTGTGGTGAACATCCAATTTTTCCATACTTATATTTCTGAGGACAGAACACAACACATAATGTGACATAGAAGAAATCTTAACATTCCATCTCTGACATTAGTAAAATTTTTAAAATTCCTGCCATTTCACTTCAACAAATGGAAATGAGCCTCTGTGTGGATCAACGTATCTTGAATCTCTTTATAAAGTAATATAACTGAGTTGTGTGAGGTAAAAGCTAGGGATAGCATCTTTCAGCAACTTTTGTAGCCTAAGACATAGCAAATCAATCAATGAAAACCATCATTACATCAACAGTCTAAGGAAAAAACATTATATAATCATATCACTTGATGCAGAAACAGCATTGACAAATAAACTAATGCTCATTTATGATTAAAAATTAAAAATACTCAAAAACTAAAAATAGAGGTGATATCAATATTTAACTTTTAAAATTAAAACAAACAAACAAAAAACACCTAATCTCATACTTAACAGTGAGAACTTGAATCCTTTCTCTCTAACGTTTGGAACAAGGCAAAGATATGCTCTCCACCATTCTTATTCAGCATTGTACTGGAAGGTCTAACCAGTGCATTATGACAAAAAGATAAAAAATATAAAAATTGGAGGGGAAGAAATAAAACTGCATATATTCACAGATAACTGATTGTTTCTGTAGAAAATCCCAAAATTCCAACAGCAACAATGGCAGTGACAACTCTTTGAACAATAAGATATTATTCCAAGGTTTCAGGATACAAGATTAATATACAAAATTCTATTGCTTCCTCATATATTAGCAATGAACAACTGGAATTTAAAATTAAAAGCACAACATCATTCACATTAGATAAGAAAAAAAGAGAAATACTTAGATGCAAATTCTAACCAAATACATATATGATCTAGATCCAAAAAATTATAAACACTGATTTTAAAAATCAAATATTTAAAAAAATGGATGTTCTGTGTTCATGAATTGAAAGAGCCAACATTAAAGTGCCAGTTCTTCCAAAATTAATCTATAGGTTTAACTCAAACTCAATTAAAACTGCAGTAAGCTCTTTTGTCAATATCAACATTGATTCTAAAGTTTACAAAAAATGCAAAAGACAAGAATGGCTAACATGATACTGAGCAAGAAGAACAACAATGTTAGATGACTGACATGACTCTATTTCAAGACTTATAATAAGGCTACCATAATCATGATTGTATGGTATTGGTGAAGTATTAGACACATAGATTACAGAACAGAATAGAGAGCCCAAAGAAAACCCACTCAAATATAGTCAAAATGTAATAAACTGATCCAGAGGAAAGGCATGTGAATGAAGAAAGAATAGTCTTTTTAAAAAATCATGGTGAAACATGTGGATGTCCTGTAAGTAAAACAATGAATCTTGACACAAATATTAATCTTACAAAAAAATCAATGCCAATTAGATTTTACATCTGAATACAAAATACAAAGCTTCTCAAAGGTCACTTGGGATACAATCAGTAGGACCTTTGTGTTTGATCAGCTGTTTAAATACTAAAATAAAAAGATGATAAGCCAATTATTGGTTATTTGTTGTGTTTGATAAGGGAGGGTTAAATAGGTAAAGCACAGGGACATTTTAGGGTGGTGATTTTATTTTGAATGATACTATAATTAAGTGTTTGCCAAAACCCACAGAAATTTACTATGCAAAGAACAAATCTAACGTATTCAAAATTTTTTAAAATAGCATTGAAATTGGAGGACAAAAAGCAGAATGTGACCAAAGAATTTAAATATATTAAAAATGCATTAAATAACATCAGTTAAAAAGCTGGTAGAATAATGAAATATGATGAAATACATAACTTTGAAAATGTAAAGTCTTTGACACTAAAGCAAAAAGAGCTATACATAAGCATTATAACTGGTTGGAAAGTTGTATCCTGTGGGGTTACGTGTTAAAAATTCTGAAACCACACTGCATGTATACAGGAATTGAATTAAGTGCATAAATGTCAGATGGGGGAGGCGATTTGATGTTACAAGGACAGGTTACAGAAAAATGGGTAGAAGCCAGAATGACCCATGAAGTATGGA